TCTTCTTGAAGCTTTGCAATTCATTCAGTAATTTTAAAATGTTATGTTTTTGATAGTAGGGAAACAGTTATGGGCTCAGTTTACATGAAAAACATACTCTACTTATTAACATGGTGTTTGTTTATAAAGTTTTAAGATTATTGAATGCTTTCTCAAGTTTCAGAAGAACAACTATTGAAGATAGTTATGAGGAAAATGAGATAAAACTACAAAAATAGAGGCCACTAATAGGAATTTATCTCTCCTCATCCTCCTTTTTTTTTTTTTTTTTTTTAGGCCAGAGGATCTTCACTTATGTGGGGGCAGGATAGTATAGCTTATCTCTAATTACAATTTTATAGTGTTTGTTTGACTTTCAGCTACTTAGTCATTTTCTTATTTTCTAGTGCTTTCATCTTATACAACACTTAATTTTCAGTAAATATTTGATTAGCTTCAGTCACTTTTCTGAGATGAAACAACTGGGGTTTACTCAAGGCTTCTGGAATTTGAGAAGGTCAGAGATAAGAAGAAATTCTGACTCATTTAGGAAGGAATGATTTAATTGAACTTCATTTCTTAAGTATTCATGACAGAAAAAGTACAAAAGAAAACTTTATAGATCACCATAACTATACTTCATAATTATAGATTTATTTGTAATATTTTTTATTTGAAAGTTTTCTTTTTGTGTAATCCTTCTTTACTTTTATAGTTTCTTTGCTTATAGCAGAAACTATAAATAAACTTGTGGCTGAAACTTCTGCTGAGCAAATCTACAGAGGAGTGTCTTGTGTTAGAATTAGAATGTTGGTCTTCCTCAAAAGTATTTGGAATTGGGACATGCAAATGTTGGTTCATTTTACCTGCCTTCTCTGGATCCTTCTCAACTACATGTGGCATTTATTTATTTTTAAATTATATTTGTTTTGCTTATTGTTTATGACAAGTTCAGATGGTAAGTACACATATTTCAATATTAAAATGAATAAATAAATAAAGCTAGATTGGGAATGGATGGGATAGATTAAATAATATGTACATATAGTTTAATATGCTACCATGGGAATCTTAGCTTTTTGGTTCTTGTGTGTGTTTAAAATGATACATATAAACGTGTCTGCTTTTATTTTGGTGAAGATAAAAATAAATCTTTGAATCTGGATTTATTTTTATGGTGTGTACCCAATATAATAACATGTGCCCAGTATACAGTCAGTTTAGCTCTTTCTAATAATGGTTTTCATCTGTAAATCATTCTGAATGCTACAATAAGAAATTACAGATATCTGTAAGAATGTTGAGGCACCGATAAGAATCAGTTAAGCACTATGATATAGTAGACTTCATGAAGATAGTATAACTTCTAAAAATTGTATTTTTGGTTTCAGTATAAAACTTGTTTATAACTAAAAATGAAGACATTTAAGAAGAGTAAATTAAATTTGTTCATAATCTCGTTATCATTGATAAACAATGTAAAACATTGTGAGAGTACTTTTTCTTTTTTTCCCTGTTCATATATCTTTGTATGTTTTCTTTATAAAATCAGGATACAAGCACAAAGAGATAGTTTGTATTTTACCTTATTCATAAAACATTATATTGTAATTATTTTCACACGGCTTCACATACTCTTCAAGTCATGATTTTTAAGTAACATGTTAATGTTTGTCATTGGATTATACCATAATTTGTATAACCATTATCCTATTTTTGGAATACAGTTTACTTTTTTGTATTAACAAAATAACATTGTAGGGATGTTCTTCAAAATTAATTTGGTTTCCATTTTTACAGGATAGGTCCAAGGAACAAAGTATTAGAATCAAAGAATATGAATTCTTATATTTCTCGTTCTTTATTATCAAGTTGCTACACCAGTACGGTACCATGTGGTCTGTTGTATAAACTTCTCAGCAGCACTATTTTTAAAAGAAATGTTTTCCAATTTTAGAGAAAAATAGGGTGTGATTTTCTTTATCTTCCTTTTTAATTTTTTTAAATATATAGCGATTTATTTCTTTACTTTTTTGTCACTGCTATTTTTTTCTGTGAGTTGCATATTCATGTCAATGGAACTTACATTCTAGTGGCATTAAGAAGGATGTTAGACAGATGTACTCAGTAGATGCAAGTCCTAAGAAGAAAAATAAAATAGGATTAGGGGTGAGAGTGCTGAGTTTGGAAAGGTTGTTTTAGGTCAGTGATGGTGAACCTTTTGAGCTCGGCATGTCAGCATTTTGAAAAACCCTAACTTCACTCTGGTGCCGTGTCACATATAGAAATTTTTTTATATTTGCAACAATAGTAAAACAAAGATTTATATTTTTGATATTTATTTTATATATTTAAATGCCATTTAACAAAGAAAAATCAACCAAAAAAATGAGTTCGCGTGTCACCTCTGACACGCGTGTCATAGGTTCGCCATCACTGTTTTAGGTACTGTTTTCAAGGGAGGCTTTTCATACTGGTTCCATTTGAACAGGGATTTGAAAAGGAGGTGTTGTTGCTGGGAGAAGCAGCATTGCAGGCAGCCAGTGCTTGATGTGACCCTGCAATAGGGATTGGAAGTGGCTGGTGGTTGAAGAAATCAGAATGACAGTCAGGATCGGGTCTCTGAGGGACTTGGAGACTATGGTAAGGAGTTGGACTCTGAGGTACTTGGAGACTATGGTAAGGAGTTGGAATTTGAGAATAAGAAGGAAATCATTGGAATATTCTGAGGAAAAAAGGGACAAGATCTCTGTGGATTAGAATGAGTTACCTCCTCTGAATGGAGAAGGGCTGGATTTCAGCCTCATTCTCCCCTTTGGCCCTTTGCTGGGTGGTTGTGTGCAGTACAGCTACTCAGCTGTACATTGTAGCCCTCAACTGCTGGAGTGTAGTGTCGCTGTAGTGTCAGTGTGAAAGTAGATTGAAGTGGGCAAGGTAATGCAAGGAGGCCATTTCAGTAGTTCAGGGAAGAAAAGATAGGGCCCAGATGTAGGCCAGGCCCAGAGAAGGTAGTTTGGTAAGGCTGGATTCTATAATGCTGAGAAAATTTGCATATAGATTGGATATGGGGGGAATGTGAGAGGAACAGAGGAGGTAATATTTTTCCTGTTAAAAGTTTAAATTTGGCTAAGTCTGCATCAATTAGGAATACATTCTGCTTGCCATTCTTCACATTCTCACTCTTGTTTTACATGGATTGGACCTTCCTTAAGAGATTTCGATGACTATTTTACAGTTACTTTAATAATTACCGTTATTAATATTTTATGTAGTAGTATTTTTATGGCTATAATGTTTTATCCAGGTATCTATTAAGTGGAGTACTAGTGTTGAAAAACAGGCCCCTACAACAGAAATGGTGCAAGGAAAGTCTTAGTGCTAACCTCTAGGAAGAAGTTCAGAACAGCTACTGCTTGTTGAGCTGAGTGTGGGAGAGAGCACACTGAAGAATGGTAGTGTTGGAAAATTACAAATCAGCTTAAAACATATTTCTAAGTTTACATAAACTGTCAGATAACCAAACCAATGAAGAGGGAACAAATGGAGAGCCTGGCTCAGGGCTGTAGGAGCAATGCTGCTGCCACGTCTGTGTTGCCATAGTTGCACCAAGCATCAATGTGCGGAACCTGACAGATGGGAATGTGCGTGTGGACGATGCCCCTCTCATATAACTTATGCAGTGTACTAATTAAAAAGCTTTATTTTGATTTAGTGTTATTGTGTGTTATGATTAAATTATGTTTAAAGGCGAGATCTATGTGCCTGGAAGATTTTCCTCTTTCTTGGTTTCCGTTTAGTTCCATGGGAAAATTAGTCAGTTTATTTTGTTCATTATATTCTACATATGAATGAGATCATGTGATACTTATCTTTCTCCGATTGGCTTATTTTGCTTAGCATAGTATTCTCCAGATCCCTCCATGCTATCTCAAAGGGCAAGAGATCCTTCTTTTTCATTGCTGCATAGTGTTCCATGGTGTAAATGTACCACAGCTTTCTTATCCACACATCTACTGATGGACAATGGAGCTATTTCCAGATCTTAGCTATTGTAGGTTGCACTGATATGAACACGGGGATGCATACATTCTTTCTGATTGGCGTTTCAGGTTTCTTAGGATATATTCCTAGAAATGAGATCACTGGGTCAAATGGCAGTTCCATTTTTAATTTTTTAAAGAAACTCCATACTGTTTTCCATAATGGCTACACCAGTCTTCCTTCCCATCAGAAGTGTACTAGGGTCCCTTTTCTCCACACCCTTGCCAGCACATGTCATTTGTTGATGGCACTTATTATGACAGGTGTGAGGTGATATCTCATTGTCATTTTAATTTGAATCTCTCTGATGATAAGTGACTTTGAGCATTTTTTCATATGTCTCTGGGCCATCTGTATGTCTACTTTGGAGAAGTATCTATTTAGATTCTTTGCCTATTTTTAAATTGGATTGCTTGTCTTTTGTTAAGTTGTATAAGTTCCTTGTATATTTTGGATGTTAACCCTTTATCAGATGTATCATTGCCAAATATGTACTCCCATACAGTGGGCTCCCTTTCCATTTTGTTGATGGTTTTCTTTGCTGTGCAGAAGCTTTTTATTTTGATACTAGTGACCCAGCATGCAAAATCACGCAAGACCCGGGACCCCCGAGTCCTACCTGCGCCATGGCACTCTCCTGAGTCCTGGCACATCCTGGGAAACAGAGTGAAGTCCCCGCCAACCCGCACTCACCTCACCTGAGTGCGCCTTGCTGCACATGCAGCCTCCTTGTGACCAGTCTTTGGTAGTTACAGTGTTAAGGATACTGGGCTTTTATAATATAGATAATCCCATTTGTTTATTTTCTCCTTAGTTTCCTAGAGATATATTCATAAACATATTGCTATGACAGGTGTCTGAGATTTTGCTGCCTATAGTTTATTCTAGACTTTTATGGTTTCAGGACTTACAGTTAAGTCTTTTTATCCATTTTGAGGTTATTCTTTTTAAAAAAATATATATATTTTTATTGATTTCAGAGAGAAAGGGAGAGGAAGAGAGAGATAGAAACACCAGTGATGAGAGGGAATCATTGATTGGCTGCCCCCCTGCACACCCCCTACTGGAGATTGAGCTCACAAACTGGGTATGTGCCCTTGACTGGAATCGAACCCGGGACCCTTGAGTTCACAGGCTAACGATCTATACACTGAGCCAAACATGCTAGGGCTTGAGTTGATTTTTATGTATGGTGTAAGTTGGTGGACTAGTTTCATTTTTTTTTCATGTATCTGTCCAATTTTCCCAACACCATTTATTGAAGATACAGTCTTAACTCCAA